TATGTAACAGAAGCACCCCTGAGCCCTGAACTGTCTCAGGCCAGCCATCTGGGAGCCCCCGTCGGTCAGGGGAGCAGTGAGAGGTGGGCAGGGAGACCAGTCATGGGTTAGAGTGGGTCCTGGCCGGCCCACCAGCTTGGGACACAGAGGGAGCAGGCCTGGCCAGGCTGCTGGGCTCACACTGGGCCAGTGGACACTCGGCCTCGGTCTCCGAAGTGGGGAGGACAATCAGCTGGGCCATGTTGGGGGCGCCTGATGCAGAGGCGGGAAGCAGTCAGCTCAAGGCTACAGGCAGGGGATCCTGACACTGAGGCAGGGGCTCACAGAGGCCAAGGGCGGGGCCACAGCAAAGGAGAAGGTGGGCACACCGTGATGTCGAGGGCTGAGGGCAGGACCCTTGCTGGGTTGGCACGCCAGCAGAAGTGCACAGCACCCTGATGCTCCCCAGCCTCTCGGACCCAGTTCACAGGGCCACAGGGAGCAGCTTTCACCCCTACCGACATCAGAGAGCTGCCAGAGGCATGGAAGGCAGGCTGGGTCCCCGGGCCTGGGGGCAGATAGGCCAGGGCATCCCCTCGGGCAGGCAGGGGCATGGCTGGGTGTGCCACTCGCAGGCCCAGTCCTGTAACCTCCATGGGACAGGGGAGCCTCCTGCCAGGTGGGCACGGCCAGGGGTCCCAGGGAGCAAGCAGCTCTCTGACTTGCGCTGCCCATCGCCAGCCCTTCCCCGTTGTCTGATCACTGAGTGGGTCTCTCCCTTCCTTGGGGTAGGTCTGCAGCCCCCTTCCCCCACCCCCTCCAGCCCCAGGGCTTAGGGCCCCTCCAGAATTGAGCCTTTCTCTCCAGACATAGGGACTTGGGCAGTCCTGTTGAAGAAACCCTGTCTTCTACTTCCCACCCAGGGGATCCTGCTCAGAGACACTTGGTGACCTTGGCTGTCTGCACCCTCCCCTCCTGTGAGGAGTGCCCAGCAGAGGTGCCACTATGGGGCACAGGAACCAAGGGTCACACGCTGGCCCCCTCAACACAGAAGCCCATGCCTATAGGCCAGAGGGAGAAGCAGCCTATCTCTACCAAGTCCCCACACAGGTCTCCACCAGCCAGGGCTGCCCCAGCACCTGGCCCCAGAGGGGCATTGTCCCCCACAACTTCCCCTCACTCTCTGGCTCCAGCCACACCCCCACCAGGGCCTCTGTCCTTCAGTTCCCGAAGTGGTCACCTCCTGCTCACCCAGCAACCCACCCCTCGCCCACACGACAGCCTTCCAGGATGGTTTCCTGTGGGTCTGGCCCCCAGCCCTCCTCTGAGTCAGTGCGTGACAGGGCCTGGTCTGCGTGTTCAGCTCCTACAGCCTTCACCACCACCAGCCCCACTCACCCCACGTCTGCACACAGCTCTGCTTGTGCGCACTACACACAGCTGCACACGTGCAATCACAGACACACTGGGCACACACACATGGCTGCACACGTACAACCACAGACATACTTCGTACACACATGCAGTTGTACCCACCTGTATACATACTATAGACACACTGTACGCACACACACCTGGCACATATGCAATCACACACACAATTGCACACGTACAGCCACACACACTGTATACACATGCACATGCATGCACACAGCTGTGCATGTATAGCCACAGCCACCCTCCACACACACAGCTGCACTTATGCAGTCACGTTGTGCAGACACGCTGTCCCCTTGCAGAAGTGCACACACAGCTGTACACATAGTCACACATGCTGTATACACATGCAAATGCATACACACAGCTGTACCTGTACAACCACAGACACACCCGTCTGCTGCAAAAGTATAAATGTGCATGTACAATCATATACTCTGTGCACACATAGAAACACACAGCTGTTCATGTGCAGCCATACACACTTATGTGGTGGACATGTGGAGATGCATAAACACAATTGCATCCACACAAATATGTGCAAATACATAGATCTACATGTGTGGAACAGCATGTACAAAGACCTGTAGAAACAAACACACTCATCTACATAGGTATGTATCAACCCCATGTGCATGTTCATGCAGAACATAGGAGGATCTGCCTGCACATGTGCCTGTACGTCTACATGCACCACCTACACAGACACACACATGTCCACAGACCGGTGTGTGCACAACCCTGTGATCTGACATGTACAAGGGCTGCGCTACAGCTGCAGACCCCATCACTGCACCGTCCCGGGCACCCCGCCCCTTGTGTGGTTTTCATGGGCCGAAGCTTCCTGGGCCCCCCTGCACAGCTTCCAGGTCAGCACCACCCACCTGCCCCCTGGGCTCTTCTTGTGGCCCAAAGCAGCATACAAAAGCAATGGCCAACGTGGCCACTTCTGTGTGGCTAGTTCAGTGCCGTCACACCACCCATCATGCTGGGCAGGTGTCGCCACCCCCCCTCTCCGCACTGTCCCCTGTCCTTAACAGACTCTCAGTGCACCCTAGCCATGGCATCCGCTCCCTGGTGACCCCTCTGCGTCTGCCTCTTCTGCTTGTCCACAGGGGTCTGAGGGGAGGGGTACGACACACATAAGGCATGACTCTCAGTCCTTCAGTCTCTGTCCTCCTGTCCTCTGTGCCTCCCCCTTCTGTGTCCAGCCCCCACCCCCACCAGCCTGCCACTTTTGCTTGGGGCCCACTGTCCCTCGTTGTCTCTGCATTTTATTGATACTATTGATAATAGTTCCAGTCGGGCCCCGCAGTGCCATCGTGGGCACCTGGGAGCCGGCTCTGGACCTGGGAGCAATGTGTCAGAGAGGGTAGCTGTTTGCAGAGTTGCCCCTAGGATGGGAGAACCCTTGGAGCCTGTGGGGCCCAGTGGCAGCCGCATGTTGTGGCTCTCAGTGAAGGGCACTCCCCAGGGCCCCTGGTTGCCTGCTGGGTGACGGCGCCTACCCCCATCCCACACCAAGAACAGGCTGGGTGACTGCCTACCGCCCGCGGGTCCCTTGAGCTGCTGTGGGTCCTATAGAGCAAGGCTCCTGCCTGGTGGGCCAGTGTGCCCCCCCCCCCCCCCCCCTGCCTGTCCCTGCTACCCCTGTTTGTCTGCAAGGCAGACTTGAGGACTAGGGCGCCCAGGTCCGGGCTGACTGCCAGTTATACCCACTGCTGCTGCCCAGCGTGGTGCAGAGCGGGCATGTGGCTGCCAACCTGTCTCCGGGCTTGGGCTGCGCTCCATGCTCCAGGAGGAGGACTGGGGGACATTGCCGGCAGGCCGTCACCCTTGGTTGCAGGCTGGCACGTGGGTAGCAGTCGGCACTCACACCATACCTCAGGGTGAACTCAGGGATGCTGGCCAGAGGGTGGCCTGAGGAAGCAGGGTCACTAGGGTCCTGGGGGCCACTGGGGGGGGGGTGCAGAATCTCAGGGAATGTGGAGAGGAGCCGCCTTGGAGGGGTGGCATGTGGTGGGTCTCCAAGATGGGTCTCCAAGGGGTACAGTCTCTGGGGGTGGAGTTTCTGGCATTGAGGGGTGGGACCTCTGAGAGGGCGGACTCTCTGGCAGTGAGGGGTGGGGGCTCTGAGAGGGTGCAGCCTCTGGCAGTGAGTGGTGGGGCCTTTGAGGGGGTGGAGCCTCTGACAGTGATGGGTGGGGCCTCTGAGAAGGCAGGGCCTCTGGCAGTGAGGGGTGGGGCCTCTGAGAGGGCGGAGCCTCTGGCAGTGAGGGGCAGGGCAGACTTCAGTCAGGATGGCTGCTGTCTCCTGGGTTGCAGCTGGCAGAGAGGCAGAGTCCTGTGAGATGCCAATTGTGCCTCCAGTGGGATAGGGAGCCCTGGACTGCAAGACATGCCACTGAGGAGCTGAGAGTGGGCACTGACCTTAGGTGACCATCTTTGTCTCTGGAGTGCCTGCTCACCCAGAGCCAGGCAGTTGGGGTCTGCAGGGACAACAGGGCCTGGGAAGGAAGGTGGGAGGGGTGGGTCCCCCAGGGACCACCAGTTGAGCCTGAGCTGCAGAGTCCCTGGGAAAAGCTGCTGTACCTGGGCAGCAAGTGGTCCCAGATGTGGGAGCAGCAGCTTCTTGACAGCTGGGCAAGGCCAGGAGCAACCATGCCAACCTGACCCCTGGGTTTGCATCAGCCCCAGCCCCAGCCCCAGCCGCCCCTCTGTCCAGACAATGCACCTGTGCAGGCCCTGACCCCCACACTTCGGCCCCAGCCACTCCCAGCGCCCCCAGCTCTGGGCTCTAGGCAATGCACAGAGTGTGGAAAGCCTCATGCCCCCGGCCCTGCAGATGCACTGAGGACGGGCACAGGCAGGCCCACTACCTCACTGGACACAGGCCACTGCACGCAGTTGTCTCCCTGCCTAGCTTGCCCTACAGCAGGGAGGGGTGAGGACAGAGGTCCTTCCTAAGGGCAGCCAGGCTTAAGAAAATGGGGTACAGCTGGTGTGGGGACATGGTAGCCCCCAGGGTTGCATTTCCCTCTCTGAGTACACCACCTGTTATAGGGGCTGTGCTGGCTGGAACCTTGGGCCTCTCACCCCCCTGCCCATCTGGCTTCCCACACACCGGCTGCCAGGGTGATCACGGCCACGCGCCCCACTGAGCGGTTCATCCTTCCCTGTGCCTTCTCACACCGTCTCCTTCCGCGTTTGGCAGGTGGCGGACCGGATGCACGGCTTCGTGCGGGAGCAGCCCCGGGTGGCCGGCGCCCCCAGTCTCGCCCAGCAGCACCCCTGCAGCACCCAGCAGCGGACCTGCGTGGACAGCCTCTGCCAGCGGCCCGGGGCGCTGGGCATGACCGCAGCCACGGGGCCCGCCATGCCCG